TTATTATTATTATTATTATTATTATTATTATTATTATTATTATTATTATTTTGGTTTCCTTCAGACTGCTATTTTTATTTTGGTTTATTTTCTGTTTTTTTGCAAATTTATATTCAGCTGACTTTTCCCTCCCCTCTCAGTTTACCTTTGTTGATCAACTCTGTCCTTCCTTCCCTCCCGTCCCTTTCCTGTACCTTCTCCACCTCCTTCCTTCTTATTGTCTCCGACTCAAGTCCTGTGTTTCCTGCTGCACAAGGGAATATGTGGGGTTGCACACCCCAAATCCTGGCTGCAGAGAATGGGGAAGCCCCCATACACTGGGGGTTGGGGAGGGCTCTAGGACAATTCGCCGTGGCCAACTTATCACAGTCAGCTCATTGCGGGACAGTTCAATGCTGTACTAATCGATCCATTCCGTTACTTTGGCTCAGTGGCTAAGACACTGAGCTTGTCCATTAGAAAGGTCGGCAGTTCGAATCCCTAGCTCCGTGTAACGGAGTGAGCTCCTGTTACTTGTCCCAACAGCTTCTGCCAATCTAGCAGTTCGAAAGCATGTAAAAAAATGCAAGTAGAAAAATAGGGACCACTTTTGGTGGGAAGGTAATAGTGCACCTTCAGTGTTTAGTCGTGCCAGCCACATGACCACGGAGACGTCTTCGGACAGCATTGGCTCTTCGGCTTTGTAATGGAAATGAGCATCACCCCTAGAGCCAGAAATGACTAGCACGTATGTGCAAGGGAAACATTTATCTTTACCTCTGTTGCTTTTATTAAGGGTAGCTACATTTTGGCCAAAATTATCGTAACGGTTGTATTTCTGGATTGACCTACTTTGATTATTATTTGCCAGGATTCCATTTGAAATTCCTTTAAACTTTTGTATTTGTTGAATCGTCCCGCAGTGAATTGGCCACGTTGAGTTGGGCATGTTGAGTTGGCAACATTAAGTTGGCTGCATTGAGTTGGCTGCGTTGAGTTGGCCATGGCGAGTTGTCCCATTCTGCACTGGGAGAAGGGACAGGGAAAGGAGCCATGGAGGAGAGAGGTTGGTCAGGGTGGTGGATGGAGAGAGAAATGTGGAATGCCAAAGCAGAGAAGGAGGGATGGGAAGAAGGGAAGGAAGAGAGGAGAGGTGAATGTGAACTCAACGGTGTAGTTGGTCATCAGCAGGATTCAACCTCCTTTGGCGAAAGACAGAAGGGTTGGAGATCCTCAGTCATCCAGGTCATGGTCGTCCCAAAGGTGCTTTGTCAAAAGGCAACTGGACTTTCTTGGCTTTGCTTGAAGAGGTTTTGCTTCTCATCCAAGAAGCATCTTCTGTTCAGAAACGTCTTCAAGAAAAACCAGGGAAGTCCAGTTGCCTTTTGGAATAGCACCTTTGGGACCCTGAAGGGTTGGGTTTCAGGATGCATGTGGGAACATCAAAGTTTGAACTCTTGGTAGGTGGTCCCCATCCTCGCCCCTCTTTCCTCTTGTGCTGCTGCTAATTGTTTTGGATGCCATGTTGTTGGACGGGGTGGGAGGTGCCACTTGGAACACCTTGCATTCATTTCCCGCCATCACTTCACTCCCCTCATGAGCTGCTCGCTATCCGCTCACCTGCATTGGTTCCAAAACTTCTCTCACCTGCCCAACCCTTGCCTTCCCGCAACAGCCAGGTGGGACCTCAAAAATTGAAGTTCAGGAGGAACTTCTTTGCTTTTTCAATCTTCTCCAGACCCAGCTCAAAGTCAACTTGGGGGCATTTCTCCCCTTCATGTCCAAATTCCAGATGGGTTACAACTCTGAAAAGTGGGTTGATCCACCACTGTGGTTTAGGGTGAGAAGAAATAGAAGAATGTATGAGCTGAAGTGGGGGTACAGAGGCCAAAAACGGGGGGGGGGGGGGGGACAGGGGCAGAAGTCAACATTCTTCAACATGAGTCCCAAATTCGTCCTTTGGATGAACAGCACTCAGGAGTTCCAACAAAGGTGTCTGTCCACATGAAAAATGGAGACCTCGGCCAGGTTCAAGGAGGCCGTTGGAAGCAAGCATGGAATGTCAACAGGGAAACATAGACAATCCCAACCTTTGTCCATGAACAATATCGGAGAGAAGATTCTGGTGTGACGGGAACAGAAAGCTCTGGGGTGTGCATATGTCGGTTTATACTTGGGTCAGATTTGGGTTCTTGGTGATTGATTTTGAACTGGCTGGACACAACATAAAGAATAATAGTGGACATGTGGGAGAGGAATGCAGGTCAGAAAAATGCTGGTAATCCTTGACTTATGACCCAAAAAATTATGTGGCTAAGTGAGATAGTTGTTAAGTGTGTCTTGGCCTGTTTTATGGTTCTTCTTGCCACAGTTATTAAGCGAATCACGCAGTGGCTGAGTTAGCGACGTGGTTGTTAAGTGGCTTCCCCCTTGACTTGGCTTGTCAGAGGGGAATCCCTGTGCCCATAGTAAAGGTGAGTCAGTTCGAAGCATCTGAATTTTGCTCACGTGGCCGTGGGGACGCTGCAGTGGTCACAAATGTGAAAAACATGCGTAAGTCATTCATCATTCATATGGGAGGAGGAGGGAGGGAGGGAGGAAAAGAAAGGAAGGAAAGAAGGAAGGAAGGAAGGAAGGAAGGAAGG